TCTGACAACTTTTCTTTTGTACAAGTACAGAAACTGTTTATGATTCACTACATGATAGGTCCCTCACCAGTTGGAATTTTCAATTTTGCATTAAGTTTAGGGATGGCAATTTTGCAAAAAAAAAAAAAAAAAAAAAACCGTGAAGAAAAAAAAATAAAAAATAATTTTATTTCTAGACAATTTACTCGTTAAAAATCCATTTTGAATTTGTATTTTATTCTCTAATAATAACATAATTCAAAACTTTGAAAATGTAAAAAAATTAAAAAATAAAAAAGATTAAACGGGCAACAAATGGGACAAAAAGTTGCCCCGTCACCGCCCCACCCTGTCCCGTTTAAAGTGGTGTGGGTTGCGGGCGGGATGGGGTGGGGGCGTCCTACCCCGACCCGCCCCGTTTCCATCACTAATTAAGTTTAACAGCTAAGTATTTCTATTGGTATAAAATTGTCGATTTTTAGTTAACTAAATTTATACCCTTTCATATATTGGGCTCTGATCCCCGAGCCCTATATGGACCCTAAAACAATAATGAAAATATGTTTTTGAGTGACCTTGGATGTCAAGTTTTAAGGTGTCACAATGATTACATACCAATCTTTAACATCTTCAAATCCATACTCAATTTGATAATACTCAAAAATTGTTTTATAAAAGTGTAAAATAACAATTTTATATCAATACATCTTGAAATCCATAATTCTGTACAAACAATGGAATATCATCTAGTTGAAATGTAAAATCAATATGATGACTTACCCAAACAAATTAATTTACAACACCATATTTTGGCACTGTGTATGTTATTAAAAGTTCACAAAAATTGGTAGGTCTCATGAAATGTCTAGTGAAAATGTGGATAAAATTTGTGAATCGAATGAAATGTATAGTTAAAGATAAAATTTGGCCAACTTTTATAAAATAAAAGTTATTCCAAACAAGTGAAGCAGTTCATTTAAAGAATAAGTTAAGGGTGTGCAAAATTATTTGTGGCTTATCCTTAACTAACTCACAATAATGAATGAATACATTTAGAAGCATATAATAACTCCATAAATATCCCACTATCCTAACTAGAGTTAAGCTTGCAAACCACAAAGTGCGTTTGATTTTCCATTTTGAGGTCATTTTCAGTTTATAATTTTCTAAAACACTCAAAACATGTTTGATATGTTATTTTTAAAAATGTGTTTTCAAAAACAAAGAAAATTTTAAAACATAAAAGTCAAAATGACTTTTTGACGTTTTGAGTATTTTCATTAAACACTCAAAAAAACTCGAAACAAAGAAAATGAGTCTAAAATTTTTCAAATTAAAATAATTAATAAAATCTCACAAAGCCTACCAAAATACAAATACCCATCCATCAATCCCCCGCACCCCAGCCCCCCTTCCAAAAATCCTAGGGGAGAATCCATTTCTCTGGTGTTATCTATCAATCTTACAATGATTCCAATTTTTTTTTTATTAACTTTAAAATTTATATTTTTGATCATATATTAGTATAAAATTGATATATTTTACTAAATAATTAATTTAATAGAAAAATAATGTTATAAAACTATTTATAAAATTTTAAACCAAATGCATTTCCTTTTTATTTATTTATTTATTTTTTGGGACACAGTTTTTTTTTCAAAACGACTAACCAAACTTCTTTTTTTTTTTTTTTAATGTTTTTTGCAATCTTAAAATAACCTCTCAAATCAAAAAGAAAAAAATAATTCAAAACTAAAAATAGAAAATAGAAATGCAAATCAAACACACTCGTGGAACTCCATTTGACTTGGTCAAAATAAAAAAATAAACTTAGTAATGCCCAAAATAAATGACATCCCAAAACAACTGTTGGTGAATCCAAACACAAGGCATGTGAGGTCAAGAAACCTCAATGCGTGTATAGGCTTAGGCACAAGACGTGCTAAACACCATTTTGCTTGTTGCTGACTATCGAGCAAACAAGATGGCTATCTCTTGTATTCTTGTATTCTCTAAAAAGTCATCCACCTTGGCTGGTTGGTTGTCTTGATAACATTGATCCTCTGACCTTAATGTCTATTTACATACGTTTTCATTATAGTGGAGGTTCCTTAAAAAATAGGAACACAAAAATAGATGATGAGGACTATAAATATTTTTAACCAATCTACGTATTTTATGATTGACAATTCTACTCATCTTCACCAATAGAAGAAATGAGTGACTGAATGAAATTTTGAAAATTCAAATTTTCTTATGTGGGGTGGATATTTGATCAATTATTAGGAGTGTGTAAACGCTGTGCATTACTATATTGTAGGGAGAAAAGCCATCAATTACTTCAATTAATTATCTTGTCAATTTCATGTCCTGTGGGAAAGCTGACATTTACTATTTATTATTTGAACGTTGAATCAATAGAGAAAGATTAAGAGATATTGTCCTCACTTTGTGATTAAATATTACCACATGGAAAGGGATTCTTCTAGAGAATCTTCAGTGGGGCGGGCGCACCCCGAGGTGCCACGTCGGCATTGGCCCACACACCTTGTAGGTGTGTGGTGGGCAGCCACCGAGGTGGCGCACCTTGATATGGCGGTGTGATTGCCCTACCAAAGATTTTCTCGGATTCTCCACATGAATTGGAAATGGAAATAGAATTTGAATTGGAATTGTGATTTTCAATCCTTGATTGCGTTCATACATGGAAAGGGATTTTCCATACAAATTGGAATTGAAATTTTAAATCCTTGATTGCGTTCATACAGAAGTTGTTCTCACCATATATCTTAAAGATGGAACCATGCCCTTATTTAGCAGAGAGAGAAAAATTGTAATTGAGGATGATGAATTCTTACCATACACTAAGGGACTGTGACTATTTTCCACTGACTTTGTCTGTTTTATCAGTCTAATAATGGACCTGTTTGTCAGTATTTTTCATCGATTTTGACTGTTTTTGAGTTTCACAGTTTATGAAATGTCGGAAAAAACCAATGCTTAATTTTTGGGCGCTGGTCATGGATGTTTAAAATCAACCAAAATCAGTGTAGCATAATTTGGATTGCATTTCACAACCCACAGAATTTGTGGTTTTGTAAGTTTTTCAATTTTATCTTTTTTTCCAACTCACATACTTTATTCAAAGCAGATTCATGATATCTCTTAAAACGTATTTTAAGTAAAGAATCACTTACAAGACAAAAATTCAATTATACATAAAAATTGGTTATAAATAAAAATGAAATAACTAAAAATTTACTTATAAATGAAGAATTACTTATAAAATAAGAATTCACTTTTATGTATAAAATGCTTATGAAGTAAAAAATGTTACTAATGAGTCAAAAAATTCAATTATAAAATATAAAAACTGTTCTTATAAATAAAAATTACTTCTGTATAAAAAAATTTACTCATAATTATAAAATTTACTTGTCAATAAAAAAATTACATGTAACTTAAAAATTTAATTATGAGTAAATATTTCATGTGCAAGTCAAAAATTAATTTTAATGTAAAAAAGACATATACATTGGCCCCATATTATGTCCACACACCTACCAATTTTTTTTTTATATATGTACATATATATTATTTTATTATAAATATTCAGAACCACTATATAATAAACTTCTTTGTACTTTTTAAAACTCGCTAAAAAATAATAATAATAAATAAATAAATAAAGCTAACACTTTAAAAACTCCATAATTGGTACCCTAAAACTCCGAAGCAGGTCGATCCTATGTGATGGTGATAACATGTTTAATTCAATTTTAATTTGTCGATATTTAATTCATTTAATAGTCTTTATTGTTTATTGTCTGGGATTTCAAGTTTTAATGAAATAGATATATTGTTTTCAAAAGTTTAAATTTTTTAAAAGGAGTACATCCCAAAACAACTGTTGTTGAACCTAAACATAGTGCATGAGAGGTAATGAAACCTCGCTGTGTACATAGAGCAAGGAAAATCAAATAGAGCAACGACACTACCGAATAAAGCTGCCAAATCTAATCTATTGAATATAACAAAAACTTTGTTAGAAACAATTGTGTTTATCATTAAAAGTACCCATAACAATTGAGCACCTTTCTTTTTGAGAATGCCTGATTAGTAGGACACATTTGAAGTTTACATATAAAATATTTTATTGTAAGAATGTGGTTGAAAATGAGTGAGAAAAAAATAGTTTTCGAGGTGGCTGGACCAACGTCATTAAAACAAAAATGAGATTAATTGATCAAATTATTAAAAAAAAAAACAAAATAGTTTGACGACCACGACAAATTTTGGTTTCAAGGGTTAGTGAAATACTTCAATTATTAAGAGTATCATTGACAAAGTAGTGATTTATTTTTTATCCAGAAGGTGTAATATTTGTCTGATAGCTCAGGACTTGACTTATTGAGAGAGTGAAAGAGCTGTGCGGTTTCTAAGTGGCCATTCCATCAACTATGATAAATCAAGCATACAGCAACGGGAAATTTCAATTCTTGAATATAATGGATATCGAATGTAAAATTCCAATTACAAAAGATGAAGATGAAGATCATCATCAGTATTTCGATGGTCGCCGAATACATAGAGTGCCCAAACTTGTGCGATTCAATAAACACAATAAAGAGGATTACTACGCTCCTAAGCTGGTTTCCTTTGGCCCTTATTACCATGGATTGCCAGAACTTGGTACGGCAGAAGAATTCAAGCATAAAGTCCTTACAATGTTTGTTTCAAGCAGCGGCAAAGACAAACAATTCTTCTATTGCCAGATCTTTAAAGTGATCGACCAGATTAGAAATTGTTACGTTGGGGTTCCCAGAGATGCATATGATGATGGAGCACTAGCAGAAATGATGCTTCTAGATGCATGTTTCGCTGTATATCTTATGAAGATTGCCGTGGGAGATGAAGAAAAAATTATCCACTTCTGTCAACATCTTGGATTGTCTGTAATAAAATTTGCATTTATTGATATGTATTGACTGGAGAACCAAATTCCTCTCTGGGTTATTAATTTAATATACGGAGAAGGATCCATGTTACTTTGTAATTTCTTTAGTTCCATGATTTTGGAGAATACCAGGCTACCAAGAATTCCTGGAGAAGATAAAAAGCAACCACTTCACCTTCTAGATGCTTATCATCGATTGCTTGTCGAAGAATGGGATAAAGCAGGAAAAATACTTGTCCAGCCTGTTAACAAATGTCAATGGCGGCCATTGAAGAAAGAAAATCAAAAGGAATTTGGGAAATTCAGTCGTCAATCTCGTTCAGTCACCGATCTCAAAGCAAAAGGCATTCACTTCAAACCTAGTTCATGTTGTTTGATGAATATTAGTTTCAAATCATCCACATTTTATGGGCAAGTTCAACTCCCGGTTTGGCTTTTCACTAGCATTTCCAAGCTATTCTTTATAAACATGATTGCATATGAAGCATCTCCAGAAAGCGACACTGGCATTCCTATAATATGTTATGTTAATTTCTTGAAATCGCTCATTGTTAAACCTGAAGATGTGAAGGAACTACGGGAAAAGAAGATACTCTTTAGCACCCTTGTCAGTGATGAACAAGTTGTTGAAGCAATCAAAGAGATTGATACTTGCGGACTTGATGATTACTATATTTTTGACAATGTGAAGATGAGAATTGAGGAGCACTGCAGCAACAAGGCAAAAACATGGATTGCTGAATTAATTCACACTAATTTTCGCAATCCATGGACTTTTATTACCTTACTCGCTGCCACTTTTCTTCTTTGCTTAACTTTTCTCCAGACCTATTACACATTGAATCCTAAGTAAAGGTGTGTGGCAAATGCTGTTCTTCATGTTTTAGTTGAGATGTGTTTCAACTCTTCCGAACAAGATAGGTTTGATGCTTTTAGTATTTATTGTATTAATCTATGTTTGTATTATTGGAATTCAAATCTATAAAAGTAGTATTTTAATAAATGTCTATCAGATGACTGATTGAAAACAATGGTTGTAAGTTCTTGAATTCATATTTTGAATACTTAGAATCTGTGACAAAAATTATGCCCTCAAGATGTTAGCTTAATTGCCTTGGTCCAGAAGTTTTCATTTAAAAGAAAGAAAAGAGAAGGGCGGGCAAATTATTGTTTCTGATCAATTAACTATACACGATACTTAATATTGGTTGTTCAAGATGAGTTGATAGAAACGTCAACATCTTATGAAAGGAATAACCAATAGTGCAAGGACTGAGGGAAATAAGACTGGGAAAGAATTTTGTTTATGGGCATCTACGACAATTCTAATCCATTAAATCTGCCAGCTTTCTCCAACTCATGAATGCCGGCTATAGTTGTCCCTCCAAGAGATGAAATGTCATCATTCAGCTGACCAAAAGTTTTCCTGTATTAGCTTCCATTATTGTTGCTCCCTATTGGGTTTTGACACCCAACAAATCCCACTATGATGTTAAAGTGGAATAATATATTTCATAGGTCTAGGCTGATGAATGAAATAAGTACCAACAATCAAGTCCATAGGCTCTACTCCATTCAATTGTATTCCCTCCTGGATGGCTTGAATCTTAACCCGTTTAGCTTTTCCATTGGTCCAATCAAAGCCTAACCTAACCCTATTATATAACTATAACCCTAACCATTTTCTAGTGTGACTTGTGAGAAAATTAAGAGGAAAAACATTGCCCCTTTGAAGAGAAGAAACCAGGTCCTTTGCGATACTGAAATTGGTTTATTACTTTGTGTACTTTGTGGTCATTTCCTTGCCTACCACTGTGGTGCTTTCTTCTTGCCTTCGTGGTTACAAATCATCACCATTGTCTTCTTTGTGGGTGAGACTATGAAGGGTTATAGATCGAAGCAGGTTGGATTGATTATCTGATAGAGAAAGTTAACGTTGAACTGATCCCAGAAAACACCGTTTTGATGACCCATGGAGCAAGCTTCCACAACAATTATATCAGAGCTTCAAGGTGGTGAATTTGTCTTATGAAACTTACTAAAAAGCCTTCTAGGAAACTTACAAAAATGAAGTAGAAATCAAATAAAAAAACTACCCAGAAAACTGCCCAAAATCAGCCTCTGTTTTCATATTTTTTAACTAATCCAGAAAGAGTTCGGTGAAACGGAGACTACTTATGACACCTGTAGGTGAAGATTGTTCTAATGATCCGGTGTGTGAGGTTTTCGGTGGTGTGTGCAGCTTTGCGTGAAGCCCTCTCGTAGAAAGTCTCACTAGCACGTGAGGGCATATGCCGCATTTTCAGGCAATGATGTCTTTAGACAATTTGTTCCTAACATTATTTCTAACATTTTGGTATTCTTAGTTTTTTGATTTAGGTTGTACATGGAATTTGAACAGAATTTTTCTTTGCACATTTGGGATTCAATCGTGGTTGGTTGGTTGCTGCAGTTGCTAGATGCTTTAGGACGAATAGTGGTGGTGCTAAAGTGATAAATTAGCATCTCTCATAATTTACGGACTGAGATTGATCTGCTCCCATGTATTGGCTTATCTCGGTTTAAATTTTAGCATGAGCACACCATCATGTGGGGGTGACAATAGGATTAGGATTACCGTGAAGGGTATCCATTGTTTGTGCTAGAAATTTAAGAGTTTTTTGCCATATTTGAAGTGTTGAATTTGATTGCAAGTTGGTAATTGGGTTCGTGCTCTAATTGTCATATATTCATTGTGTGAGACTACATTTCTTGAGAATTTGAATTTTTTGTCTACATACCATCGTGTTGCATTGATTATCCTGTTAGAACACCTGGACTTGACTATCTTGAACATTTCCTTGATCTAAATCACGAATCTTACAAAACCCCGAGAATGTAGATCAGTGTACATTGCGCTTGTAGGATAACTTTATGTGACCTATTTGTACATTTGGTTGTTCTATTTTTTGAAATGTCTTCACATTTCGAAGTTGAAATTTGCAATGGAAAAAAGGATTTTTTTTTCAATTTGGCAACAAAAGTGAAGGGGATTTTGGTTCAACAAAAAGTTTCAAAAATCATAGATGACAAATTTTCTGCAAATTTGACAGAAGCACTAAAAAATGAATATAATAAACTTGCTTACACTTTCAATTATTTTACACCTATCTGACACTATTTTAAGAAAAGTTGGAAAAGTTAATTCTACAAAAGAACTTTGGCAAATTTTGGAGGACTTATATTTACTCAAGCCCACTCCTAATAAATTGTATTTACTTGAAAGGATTTTTAGTTTTAAAATAAATCATTCAAAAGATCCCGATGACAATCTGGATATTTTTAGCAAATTAGTTCAAATTATTATTAACTGTGATGAAAAGGTGTCTGAAATGGATAAGGCCATTATTTGCTTAATTCAATGTCTGATTCATATAGAGAGGTTAAGAATGTAATTAAGTTTGGTAGGGACACCTTAACACTAGAGATTGTCATAGACTTACTTAGGAATAAGGAAATAGAGATTAAGACTGAAAAAGAAGATAAGAGGAGTGGTGAGTTACATATGATGAGGAGTATGATGAAATTTAAGCAAATGAATTTAGGTAAAACTCAAAATAGTAGTGATTTGAGCAGTGACTTGAGTGATAAGGGTAATAAAAAGAAGGGTAAGGGACAGGACAAGTCTAGTGGTAGACGGTGCTACATCTGTGGTAAGTTCGGACATTTTATTAAGGGCTGTTCCAAGAAGAAGGATAAGATGAGAGATGAGAAGAATTTGGCTATAAGGTCGAGTAATGACCCTAGTGAGGTTTATTGAGAGTAAACCTAGTTAATGCATATGAATCTGTGTGCAATCCTTTCTGCATATGTACGATCACTTAATTTTGTTGCATATTATATGCTGCATTTCAATGTGCTTGATATGTGTGTTTGCATGAATTTGAGGTAATATGATTACTTGGTATAATTGTTTGCATGCATAATGCGTTAGGATACATTAGCAGTGTATTTCATGTCTTTTGGTGAGATAAAGTATAGATGTCTAGGGATATATTATGGTTTGAACCGGGGATGTGGAGTGTGACATTTGGATCACGAGTGGTGAGGTGATTAAATGTCTTGAATCCTTTATTTGTGAAGAGACCTTGATCATGTGGAGTGTGATAGAGGCACTTATAGCACTTTTGTTAGGTGGAGACCCACTATGCACATGAATTGGGAGAAGTGATGTAGTGATAGAGGATTATCCCGTAGACATAGGATCTATTGTGACTTACCAATTAAACATGAGTTGAGTGATCAGTCTAGTGAGCATGGTGGACGTGAGAATAGATATATGTTCTCGAGGTGTGAGCAACACGAAATGTGACAGGATAAGTATGATGAGATCTTTTCTTAGGGTCATTTTGCATCCGTTGCATATATTTTGGCCATCTATTGATTAACTTGATGTTAGTTTGTGGTTCAATGTGAACGTGTTCCTAAAAAGATCTCTGTGTGTTACCCTATATATATCATCATCACATGATTAATTGTTCTTGATTGATTACTGTGAATATTTGCTTCCACTTGGGTGTTCTTGACCTTAGCCTTGGTGAGTACATGGAGCAAGTATGGTATGTATTTCAGGTTAGAAACACGAGGCAAGGTTTGTGATCTAGTTTTATTGATTATCTTGATTAGTGTCTATTTAATTGTTTGCAAATTTATTGGGCATCAAGATGGAGATCTGTTGGGTTTTGATACCCAATAAATCCAAGGCTATGATGTTAACGTGGAATAATATATTTCATACGCCTCGACCGATGAATAAAATAAGTATCAACAATAAAGTTCATAGGCTCTACCCTATCCAATTGAATTCCCTCTTGGATGACTTGAATCTTGGTTCGTTTAGCTTTGCCATTGGTCCAATTAAACGCCTAACCTAACCTTATTTATATAACCCTATCCATTTTCTAGTGTGATTTGTGAGAAAATTAAGAGGAAAAACATGGCCCCTTTGAAGAGAAGAAATCGACTTTTTTGTGGTACTAAAACCGATTGATAACTTTGTGGTCTCTTCCTTGCATACCTTTGTGGGGTTTTCTTCTTGCCTTTGTAGTTATAAATCGTCACTGTTATATTGTCCTTTGTGGGTAAGATTGTGAAGCAACTGAGGTGAATATATTGGTTGTGGATCGGAACCGGTTAGATTTGTTATTTGGTAGAGAAAGGTAACGTTGGACTGAACCCAAAAAACACTGTTTTGATGACTCTTGGAGCAAGCTTCTGCAACACTCACAATACCTGTAGCAGTTCAATAGCTGAGGGTGAATGAAGTATTGTTGCCTCAATCACTACAACAGAAGATAGAATTGAATAGTACATTTTGTTGAAGACATAATTTGAATAAATAAGTTGGTCTCATCTAATTTAAAATGTTAGATGAGATAGTTATTTAATCAGAGCAGGCACACGTCTCAACCAAGATGAAAAAATGATTTCTAGTCTGCATATGAAGGATCATGTTAGAAGATATTCTAAATCTATAGTGAAAAGAGCCAAATGAAAGATTGCATGAGAAATTTCATACTTTCAAATAGGTAATAATAATTTGTGGATGAAGTGGGCATAATTTCGATGTGCAGTTAAGCCTTTTAGATTACTTGGATAGTATAATGACAATATTCATTTTCAAGACCCGAGGTTCACCCTTTTTTTCCTTGCTATTTACCATTGGTTTTTACATGAAATTTTTGGACTTTTCTTCAAGGACCATAGTATTAGTTATGTTAATTGAGTTTTCCTAGGTGGATTAGTGTCCTTTACTCCGCCATGACACTTTACAATGATGCATTGGATTATATGTTGCGTATTTTTATCAAGTGACCATTTGTGAAGCAGACTAAACTTCAATGATTAATTGAGTAAGAAAAATGCTTTAATAATCAATTTGAAATTTCTTACAAAATTAATTGACAATTGGTGAAATGTCTCTTTTAGAAGTCATTGTTTCTTTTATTAAAATGACTATTATACATACTATTTATTAAAATAAAAGTAATTG